CATGATGGAGGAGGGGGTGGGGTGGGTGGGTGGTGTCGGGAGGGTGGGAGGGAAGCGTCGGGAGGGACCACCTGGATACAGGAATTACCATAAATTTTAGAACAATTCATCATAGCCAAAAACAAATGAAATACTAGTAATTATGTAATAACAAATATATAAGTTTCCTAAAAACAATGTGCACAGGCTGAAGTTTCTTTAAAAAATATTTTGATTTTTTTCCTCCTGGTGGCCTACGTAACGTGCTATAGCTGCCCCAAGTGGACCCATCCAACACTGGTCAACCCATGTGCTCCCGTCCCTCGTGTTATACCACAGTGCCATGCCATTAGTGAAATATTTTTTTAAATAACTTTTTTATTTTCATGGTAACTTTGAACATTTTTGGCCAAGACTATGTCTGGTAGCAGCATCAATTGTTCTGGAGGTGTTAAGAGGAAGAAGGTTGTCCTAACAATTAAAGACAAGTTACGTGTTATACACTTCAACCAGTGAGGCATCAGAGGCAAGCCAAATGCCTTCAACAATGAGGCGTCACAGGCAAGCCAAGCGCCTTCAACAAGTGAGGCGCAAGCAAGCGCCTTCAACAAGTGAGGCATCACAGGCAAGCCAAATGCCTTCAACATATGAAGCTTCACAGGCAAGCCAAACGCCAACAACAAGTGAGGTGCAAGCAAGCGCCTTTAACAAGTGAGGCGTCACAGGCAAGCCAAATGCCTTCAACATGTGAGGCTTCACAGGCATGCCAAGCGCCTTCAAGTGAAGCACAAGTAAGCTCCTTCAACAAGTGAGGCCTCACAGGCAACCCAAATGCCTTCAACCAGTAAGGCTTCAGCAGCTGGCAGTCAAAACTAACTTTGCTTAATGAACTATACAATAATTTTAAGTGGTAAATTTAGTGTTGTGTTAGTATAGGTTAAGTAAATTGTTAAGAATTCTTAACTTCAAAATATGTGGCATCAATCAAGAAGATGAACACCAACAAGGTAAGTTGAGATTTCTAGCTGAATATTTAATAATTATATGTGGCAAGACAATTCAAATTATGTTGTTTGTAATATAAAAATAGTTGGAAATGGTCACTTTTGAACTCAGAGGTGAAAAAGTACCATTATCTGGAACACATGAATATCCGGCTGGGGGTCCTTCCCATATAGTCCAGGACCTAGATTCAGGAAGCTCTGTGTATTTCTTCGTAAGTGGGTTTGCTACGAAGGTTCCTAAGTGCGCCCTAAGAAGATGCTTAGGTGCGATTCAATAAGGTATACTTAGGAAGAAAATTGTTGGTTCACCTGCGTGCCGATAGAGGTCACTACTGTGTTTCGTTTGGCCAATCAGAGAGCAGCAACATTCTTCATATTAAAGATTTAGCGCTTGCTTATCGGAGCTCTACTGCCTCCTATTTACGTCGAATTTTCTTATAAAATTAGTATATTTCGAAGTAAAACAATGTTTTTTCAACTTCTACAGCCAGCACCGACATTGTAGTAAACAAATATGTTACATTTGTTGTTTACCTACGTAATTCTAAGAGATACTGTGTAGCTGTCCTTGTTGCTCGGAAGATGCGCTGACAATTATTGTATATATTTACTGAATTTACCCAAGGGCCACTAACTATCTAGTGACTTCGAAGAGGACAGAAAGCCGGTGGCTTGTTAAAGGGCCCGCCAATTGTCTTAATGATATTTTTTAGCTGGAATTTGGCATTTACGGCTTCAGCGGGTAGGCTGTTCCATGGGTTTATAGTCCTCTTGGTGGAAAAAAAACATCTGTTTTCAGTCCTACTTGAGAGAACATACTCTCCAACACTATATCTGTGATTGTCCTGTTATCAGTGACTTCATTCCAAATGGTATGAGGTATTTTGAGCTCTGTAATTACTTCATACACTCAGGAATATTGGAAGATATTCTTGTGCTGCACCCAGATTTTGCCAGTGGAGGCTAATAGATCAGCATTAAGTATTTTGTTCTCTCCTAATTCCATGTATGACTGGCCATCCTGTGAGGTGAGGATGTTGGGTGAGCTTGTAGCTGGTTTTTTATCTACACTGTGTGGTCCTTTATACAGAATAGGGAAGCAGCACATTGCTGTGTATACCTAAACATGTTTAAAAAATACATTGTTTGAGAGGAGTTTTGTAGAAACTGGTAAGAGTAATTATAATATAATGTTTCCATGATTCAGTGCTTACCTCTTGTGAAAATTGCTTAGAGTTGTTTAGTCAGAGTTGATTTGTTTTTTGTATTGAGGCTGGTATTTTCTAAATTGATTCCATGTACAGTATGTCTAACCATCCTGTGAGATGGGAGTATTAGATAAATTTATAGCTAGTTTTTTATCTACACTGTGTAATATTCCATATAGACTAGGGTAGCAGCACATTGCTGTGTATACCTAATCTTCTTAATAAAAAAAATCAGTAATAAAGATTTTAAATTATAGTTTGTATTACAAATACAGTACTGTATTATCCTTATTTAATCATGTTGACCATGGATCATTAAGATCTCATGTTGATATGTAATGACAAGTCATATTTCTTTTGAACTGCTAATCATTCATTAAATTGTGCATTGTCTCAATTTTTCACTTCCTTGGATATACTGTACAGTACAAAAAGATAGGATAAAAATAAACCAGTAATATTTCTTTCATTATATTTTTCATTTAAATAACTGCATCAATATTTTTACAGCTGACAGGATTTGTTTTCCCATACAGGTGCATTATTTGTTAAAAAAAAATTTGGTTTATTGTTACACACAATGGTGCTACATAGCCTTCCCAGCTTGGTGCCTTCTTTTAATACTTACTGATTAAAAAATAAATAATAAATACATTTTATTCAGGAAAAGTACATACAGTTGATTTACAAACATAATGATGGATTTATAGGCAGAGCTAGTACATACAATACCTAAAGCCACTAATACTCATAGCATTTCGGGCAAGGTGTGGGGAAAAAAAACACAGACTAAAACTTAATAGTAATCGGGATTAGGTATAAATTGTGTTGAAAGAAGGAATAAAAAATACAAAAAGGGGGTTAACATAGCATAAATCAACAATTGCACATGTTGGTGAACAGCGTTGTTTAAAAAATAGCAAGACATGGGTTGACATTTAGGAGGTAAGTTAGGTTACATGGAGTTAATTTGGCAGTACTTGGTTTAACTCTTAAACTGGTTGAGAGAGGTACAGCCTTTGACATGATTCGGGAGGTCATTCCACATTCTGGGTCCCTTGATTTGTAGAGCACTTCTAGTTTGGTTACACACAGCCAAATTGAGTAACAGGAAGAGGTCTTGGACACAAATTTGTTCCATGCTAAATGTAGAGGAATCAGCTGAGTATTCCTCAAATAAAATAAGTTGCCTCAGCTAATAAGGTAAATAAAATAAGCATTTCTCAAATAAGTAGCTGCCTCGCCTCACTGCCTTACTGCTACATAGCCTTCCCGGCATGGTGCCTTCTTTTGATAATTACTTGTTCCACACCCAAATTGTATAACAGGAAGAGGTCTTGGACCCCTACTTCCCTCTCTCTTTTTTAATAATCTATATAGTCATAATTATAGCTTTAAGTATTCAATGAATAAAGTTTGTGACATTTTTACCCTTTTCCTTACCTAACATCATTTGTGCAGCATATTTTTATTTTATGTCTCACCCAGATTTAATTTCAAAATAAAACCAAACTAAATAAATTAGAAATGGGTATGTATAGCTAAGGTACATCCTTACTACTAGGTGAACAGGGGCATTTGGTGATAGTAAATGATCCCATCAGGCAGGGCTCATCACCTTCTCTCATATTTCATGTTCACCAGTGTTTATTTACTTAATAACTACTGGTATAATATCTTGCTATTATAAAACTAATTCTACTATCATCAAACACATATTTACTTCAAGTTTCAAGCAGAGAATGCATATATAACTAACACGAAGGACTCCTCTCCACTAGATTCACCAGCTATAATATTTTGGTCATGTTCCAATATCATAAATCGATCCCAGTGTTATGTAGAAGAGAAAAAATGACTTATATCCAGTTTACGTAAAGCTACGAGTGATCGAAACCACACTTAAATCCTGGAATGAACTTACGAAGGTTTTTCCACTTAGGGTAGTTAATTGAATACGGACGTAGCCGCCACGAAGGCGCTAAGACGGAAAACGCTCTTAGCTAAGAGGAAAAACCTTCGTAAGTACCTTCCTGAATCCGGCCCCAGATAATCGAGTGGAGACAGTATATATATATGTGACAAAAGTCAGACCACGGAGGAAGAATTGAAACAGGAATTTCTTTAAGTACTTTCGTATATTAATACATCTTCAGAAGGAATTAATACTGACTTAGTCACATTTTTCATCATGTGTTAATTTTCGTGATTTACACGCAAATATATATTTTATTAGAAAGAACTCTTCTCATGAAAGGATCAAACCTATGACTGACAGGGGCAATGAACCCCTTGACAAGTCCAGTACTCTGACCAACTGACCACCAGACAATTAAAAGTCATTGGAAGAGGAAGCTATTTCCCCCCAATGACCCAATTGCACTAGGTGTGTTTGTGTGTGTGTGCATTGGAATAGTTAAAGTTCAGTTAGTTAATTTAAAGTATATACTTATTTAAAAATGGTTAAAACAAAAATCTTTATATTTAATATCAAATTTTATAGATTCTTAAAAAAAAATCCATAGCCAAATGTATTTCACATACAATACAAGTTAGACAAAAATACTTTTGTAGGAAATCCAGGTGACAAGGGGATTGCACAGTATTTTCATAATGAAGTTTACAAGTTCCCCAAAAAACAAACAAACAGGCAACACTAGATTAGTACAATGGAAGTTAATGTCACCTAAGTTTTCTCATACAATTCTACTAAAATGACTGAAACTGTAAGCAATTTAAAAAATACACACTTTCAGATGTAAACACTTACATGTGCTCTTGTTAATTATATTGCTAGTTTCTCTGAACATTATTCCAAATTCATATGCACCATCCTATGTCTCTTCATGTGTCCAAGACGACGAAATGCTTGCCCACACTCAGGGCATATATGAGGTCTATCATCTGTATGCACGATCCTGTGAATCTTCACACTTCCAAGTTGATTGAATCTTTTCCCACACTTAGGACACTCGTGAGGCTTTTCATCTGTATGCACTATCCTGTGTCTCTTCATGTGTGTAAGACGACTAAATGATTTCCCACATTCAGGACACTTGTGAGGTTTAGCACCTGTATGAATCATCATGTGTCTCTTCATAGTTCCAAGCTGACTAAACCTTTCCCCACACTCAGGACATGCATGAGGTTTAACACCAATATGCACCATCCTGTGCCTCCTCATAGTTCCTGGAAGACTGAATCTTTTCCCACACTCGGGACATTCATGAGGCTTATCATCCTTATGCACTATCATGTGAGTTTTCATAGTTGAAAGTTGACTAAATGTTTTTCCACATTCGGGACATTCGTGACGTTTCTCACCTGTATGTACCACTCGGTGCCTCTTCATAGTTCCAAGATGATTGAAGCTTTTCCCACACTCAGGACATATATGAGGCTTAGCACCCATATGCACCCTCATGTGAGTCTTCATAGTTCCAAGTTTACTGAATTTTTTCCCACACTCAGGACACTCATGAGGCTTATCACCCACATGCACCATCATGTGAGTTTTCATAGTTGAACGTTGACTAAATATTTTCCCACACTTAGGACACTCATGAAGTTTAGACCTATCACGAAGTTTAGGCCTATCACAAAATTTAGACAAACTATCTTGCAGTTTAGGATTATCCTCCATTTTCCAATAATCGGGGCACTTGTTAGATTTAACACCTGTATGAACCAGCAAGTGTCTCTTCATAGTTCCAAGTTTACTGAATTTTTTCTCACACTCCGGACACTGGTGAGGTTTTGCCTTGTTCTTTGCTGTTTGCATAATGTTATCTCCTGATGACTCAAGGAGTTGGCTTGTGATGTGGGGCGTCTCATTGACACACAACACAAGGGGATCTTCTCCTGATGACGGCATGATTTGTATTGTGACGTCTGGCTCCTCCTGGACACATAACGCATTGTTATCTCCTTCCAATGACTGCATGAAATGTATTGTGACGTCTGGCTCCTCTTTGACACATACAAAATTTGTGACGTCTGGCTCCTCTTTGACACATACAAAATTGTTATCTTCTTCCGATGATTGCATGAGTTGTATTGTGGCGTCTGGCTGCCCCTTGACACACAATACATTATTATCTCCTTCCAATGACTGCATGAGTTGTCTTGTGACGTGAGACACCTCCTATACACGTAACGTGCCACTTGGTAGATTGATTTATAAAGGTGTGTTGTTGTGGTGGGTTAAAGGCAGCTATAGCACAAGGCAGAATGCACTATGTTCATCAATTCCGTCGCCGCCAACACAACAACAACATCCAGACCAACATGGCCGATTAGGAGAATGGGAAGTTTAAGGCGGGAGTTTCAAACAGAGATATTGTAGTTCATTTAAAAAAATTCAAATTCAAAATCAAATGTTTATTCAGGTAAAGTACATACATACAAGGTGTGATACAAATATTGATGAATTTATAGATAGAGCTAGCACATACAATGCCTAAAGCAAGTTAGTATTGGTGTTTAGCTCAGTCTGCACACAAGGAGACTGACTAGTATCAATCGCATTCTATACATCTTCCCCCATGCTGGGTACTGAGATGGAGACTCAGTCACCAGAAGAACTGGCTACTCCCCACGGCAATACTCACATGGACTCAGAAAGCAGCCAGTCAGTCGAGGAGAGTGAATTTGAGAGGAGTTTCAAAAAAAGTTTCAAAAACTGTGGGCATTCTTTCTAAGATCAGATATTATGTACCACGCCCTTCCCTGGTGACTCTCTATTACTCCCTTATCTATCCATATCTCAACTATGGTATTTGTGCTTGGGGCTCTACTACCCAAAATCACTTACGTCCTCTAATTACTCAACACAAAGCTGCTATTAGGACAATATCCAATTCTGGCCCCAGACACCACTCGATACCCCTACTTAAATCTCTGAATATGTTAGACATTAAGTCACTGCACATTCTCTCATGTGTATTATACATATATAAAACGCTAAACTATAATGCCAATCCTGATCTCATAGAAGTGTTCCCAGTTGTCTATGAAAGATATTGCATTTGATTTGCAATATCTTTCCAGCCGGCAATTGACACTAAGTGCCCTCGACATCCATTCATTTCCCACTCCCTTTCTTGGAAGAATGCCACATATGATCGGGATTCCTCCCTTGCTCCTAACTAATTCAATGGCTGTCCTGAATCTCTGTATTAGTTCCTCACTCCTATCTCGCCCAACATCATTACCCCCTGCACTAATACAAATAATGGGTTTGTTCCCATTTCCCGTCATAATATCATTCATGTTTCCAACAATATCACCAATTCCAGCTCCCGGATAGCAATCCCTTAATCTGTTCCCCCTATCTCTGGCCCAAAACGTTCTGTCTAAATACCTCCATTTGTGTTTCCCTGTTAGTTAACACTAAATCTAAAGTATTATTTTCCTGCTTTGGTTCCTTAATGTGTTGGCTCAGAAAGCAATCGCCAATTCTGCATCAACATCCGCCACCAAGATAATGTTAATAAAACAAGATTAAAACCAGTGCACTAAAACAGAAGAGATAAATAAGCAGGAAAAAAGAAGACCTCTCCTCCATTTTAAACTTAGACCCAAATATCACTGGAAAAAGGTTATCATGTATAACCAAACTCAATTACGGGCTCACCATAGCCCGTGCTACATGGACACTTCGTCCTGAGTAGCTAAATCTGAAACAACAACAACAGATTGATTGATGAAGATTAAGCCAACCAAAATGTGGCACGGGCATGAATAGCCCGTAAGTAGAGGTCCTTTGGAGCTATTACCAGTACCAATAGATACAGGAGATCGGTTGATGGATGGGATCATGATCGCTCGCAGTTTATGACCAGCAGGAATTTTGGTCGCCAGGTTGCAGTTTTAAGATTGATTGATTGATGAGGATTAAGCCACCCAAAAGGTGACACGGGCATGAATAGCCCGTAAGTGGTGGCCCTTTTGAGCCATTACCAGTATCAAGAGATGATACTGGAGATCTGTGGAGGTGCGACTGCACCCTGCGTGACGGGAGATGTCTCCCGGACCAAGTGGTGACCAGATGGTGTGCAGTTTTAAGTGCAAAGGGACGCTTTATATCGAAATGTATTATACGATTGATGAAGATTAAGCCACCCAAAAGGTAGCACGGGCATGAAAAGCCCGTAAGTGGTGGCCCTTTTGAGCCATTACCAGTATCAAGAGCTGATACTGGAGATCTGTGAAGGTGTGACTGCACCCTGCGTGACGGGATTGATTGATTGATGAAGATTAAGCCACCCAAGAGGTGGCACGGGCATGAATAGCCCGTAAGTGGTACAATTGTTTTTTTTCTCAGTATTCTGAGTTTGCATTTAACCATCAAGCTGTTATCGTGGGGGAGGATACTGCTTCACAGTCTTTATGAGGGTGTCCAGCTGCTGGACACCTTTGTTGACCAGGAGAGTGGCTGTGTTGATGGCTTCAGGGTGGCCACTGCATGATTCAGGAACTCTTAAAGCTCTTCTAAGGTCATTGGTTGCTTCACATTCCAGAAGATAGTGAAGTAATGGCTTTTCTGTGACAGTTTGGCAGAAGATGCACTCTCTCTGTCGGGGTTCACCAATCCCCCAGTTGCATCTGTAACCTAGACGTAGTCTAGTGAAGTGAGAGGGTTAATTCATTAGCTCATTCGCCTCTCATTAGTCTATTCGCCGAAGCTTCATTTATCTCTGACATTCTATCCCCAGTACTCTGTAAGGTCAATCATATCATCATTATCTCACTAATAGTATTTCTTGGGCCATGAGAATAATCTTGGGATTATTCCCATGGCTTCATTTTGTACTTTCTCCAACTTGTTTAGTCTGCCTTTACCATAACAGGGGCAGCATAATCAATAAGAGATCTCACATTATGCAATGTGATTACCATTGGAATGTGAAATACAGAATATGATTAATAATTGTGTACTGTATGGTTCTGTGAGCCCCTTGAGGGGACCTTATATAGACGAGCTAGTTACGAGGTAGATGGTGTTGAGATTGCGAAGTAGAATTGCGAAAGGGATCTGGGAGTTATGATTAGTAAGAATTTAAAATCAAAGGATCAATGCATGAATGTTCCTAATAAGGCAAATAGGACACTGGGGTTTTATAATCGAAGCGTTAGTAACAAGACACCTGGTGTTGTTTTTCAGCTATATCTTGCTCTGGTTAGGCCCCATTTAGATTATGCAGTTCAGTTTTGGTCGCCGTACTATAGAATGAATATAAATTCTCTTGAACGTGTCCAGCGTAGGATGACAAAGTTAATTCCCCGAACTAGAAATCTTTCATATGAAGAAAGATTAACAAAGCTTAAGTTGCATTCACTGGAAAGACGAAGAGTTAGGGTAAGACATGATAGAGGTTTACAAGTGGATGCATAAGAACATAAGAAAAAAGGCAACTGCAGAAGGCCTATTGGCCCATACGAAGCAGCTGCTATTTATAACCACCCAATCCCACTCATATACATGTAAAACCCACGCTTGAAACAACCGAGGGACCCCACCTCCACCACGTTACGCGGCAATTGGTTCCACAAATCAACAACCCTGTTACTGAACCAGTATTTACCCAAGTCTTTCCTAAATCTAAACTTATCCAATTTATACCCATTGTTTCGTGTTCTGTCTTGAGTTGATAATTTTAATACCCTATTATTTCCATTCACCCACTTGTAAACCTCTATCATGTCACCCCTAACTCTTCGCCTTTCCAGTGAATGCAACTTAAGCTTTGTTAATCTTTCTTCATATGAAAGATTTCTAATTTGGGGAATTAACTTAGTCATCCTACGCTGGACACGTTCAAGTGAATTTATATTCATTCTTTAGTACGGCGACCAAAACTGGACTGCATAATCTAAATGGGGCCTAACCAGAGCAAGAAATAGCTGAAGAACCACACCAGGTGTCTTGTTACTAATGTTTCGATTAATAAATCCCATTTATTAATCGATTAATAATCTCATTCGATTAATAAATCCAATTAATATCCCCTTTGTTATGTCCATTACATAAGAACAAAGGCAACTGCAGAAGCCCCACACGAGGCAGCTCCAGTTACCTTGTTCTTATAATCTTATGACGAGGGGTAGAACTAGCCAAAGCTACTCTATCCTTTTGAAATGTACTTCCTTTTCTCAATAAACTTGAGCCATTTCATGAACTTACGTCAAGTTCTGAAATTCATGAACTTACATCAATTTATGGTGAAGAATGTAATATCAACCGATTTACTTGTAGGTGACGTGTAGGTAACCTCCCGATAAATATGGCCCTGGTCATGGGGTTAGCTTCACACATCATTCGTGCTAGCTCCAGTCAAGAGCTGTTACATTATACGGACCAGCTCCAGCCGTCGGTATAATGCAGGATTCAGGTTCATTGCTCAGCTCGACACCATCTCATAAATCATTTAATGATTATGTAGAAGACATAGATTCTCTCACAGGTGCAAGTTCTGATAAATCATTGAAAGTTATTGCGGAGGATCCGGATTCATCGTTCTGGACCACATCGTCTGATTCATCATTTAGCATTCTCGAGCAAGATTCAGATTCGTCTTTCAGCACAGCGCCGTGTGATACATCACTTTACATTCTTGCTGAGGATCAAGATTCATCATTCAGCACCGCGCCGTCTGATATATCATTTAGCATTCTTGGGGAGGATGAAGATTCATCATTCAGCACAGCTCTGTCTGATATATCACTTAATATTCTTGCGGAGGATGAAGACTCATCATTCAGCACAGCTCTGTCTGATATATCACTTTATATTCTTGCGGATGATCAAGACTCATCATTTAGCATTCTTGGAGAGGATTAAGATTCATCATTCAGCACAGTGCCGTCTATCATTTAATATTCTTGTAGAGTATCAAGATTCATTGTTCAGTGCCACAGCGTCGTTTAACATTCTTGTGTTGGATCCAGATTCATCATTTAACATTCTTGAGAGAGATCATCGTCAGCTCAGCGCCAACTGATTTATCATTTGATGCGAAGGATCTACATTCAACTTTCAGCACAGCA